ATATAGGCGAAATAGGCTTTTTTCAGCAATGGATTACACATAATTTTAAAATTTTGTACCCATCGACTCAAATTGTATTGTGTAGAGTGTATGAATCTTTTTTATATCAATCAATAAAATCTCGCCCCTCTTGGGCGGAAAGACATGTGAGTAATGTTTGAAAAGTGCATAAATTTACGATTTTTCACCTATGACGATATAGGCGAAATAGGCGTTTTTCAGCAATGGATTACACATAATTTTAAAATTTTGTACTCATCGACTCAAATTGTATTGTGTAGAGTGTATGAATCTTTTTTATATCAATCAATAAAATCTCGCCCTCTTGGGCGGAAAGACATGTGAGTAATGTTTGAAAAGTGCATAAATTTACGATTTTTCACCTATGACGATATAGGCGAAATAGGCTTTTTTCAGCAATGGATTACACATAATTTTAAAATTTTGTACCCATCGACTCAAATTGTATTGTGTAGAGTGTATGAATCTTTTTTATATCAATCAATAAAATCTCGCCCCTCTTGGGCGGAAAGACATGTGAGTAATGTTTGAAAAGTGCATAAATTTACGATTTTTCACCTATGACGATATAGGCGAAATAGGCTTTTTTCAGCAATGGATTACACATAATTTTAAAATTTTGTACCCATCGACTCAAATTGTATTGTGTAGAGTGTATGAATCTTTTTTATATCAATCAATAAAATCTCGCCCCTCTTGGGCGGAAAGACATGTGAGTAATGTTTGAAAAGTGCATAAATTTACGATTTTTCACCTATGACGATATAGGCGAAATAGGCTTTTTTCAGCAATGGATTACACATAATTTTAAAATTTTGTACCCATCGACTCAAATTGTATTGTGTAGAGTGTATGAATCTTTTTTATATCAATCAATAAAATCTCGCCCCTCTTGGGCGGAAAGACATGTGAGTAATGTTTGAAAAGTGCATAAATTTACGATTTTTCACCTATGACGATATAGGCGAAATAGGCTTTTTTCAGCAATGGATTACACATAATTTTAAAATTTTGTACCCATCGACTCAAATTGTTATGTGTAGAGTGTATGAATCTTTTTTATATCAATCAATAAAATCTCGCCCCTCTTGGGCGGAAAGACATGTGAGTAATGTTTGAAAAGTGCATAAATTTACGATTTTTCACCTATGACGATATAGGCGAAATAGGCTTTTTTCAGCAATGGATTACACATAATTTTAAAATTTTGTACCCATCGACTCAAATTGTATTGTGTAGAGTGTATGAATCTTTTTTATATCAATCAATAAAATCTCGCCCCTCTTGGGCGGAAAGACATGTGAGTAATGTTTGAAAAGTGCATAAATTTACGATTTTTCACCTATGACGATATAGGCGAAATAGGCTTTTTTCAGCAATGGATTACACATAATTTTAAAATTTTGTACCCATCGACTCAAATTGTATTGTGTAGAGTGTATGAATCTTTTTTATATCAATCAATAAAATCTCGCCCCTCTTGGGCGGAAAGACATGTGAGTAATGTTTGAAAAGTGCATAAATTTACGATTTTTCACCTATGACGATATAGGCGAAATAGGCTTTTTTCAGCAATGGATTACACATAATTTTAAAATTTTGTACCCATCGACTCAAATTGTATTGTGTAGAGTGTATGAATCTTTTTTATATCAATCAATAAAATCTCGCCCCTCTTGGGCGGAAAGACATGTGAGTAATGTTTGAAAAGTGCATAAATTTACGATTTTTCACCTATGACGATATAGGCGAAATAGGCTTTTTTCAGCAATGGATTACACATAATTTTAAAATTTTGTACCCATCGACTCAAATTGTATTGTGTAGAGTGTATGAATCTTTTTTATATCAATCAATAAAATCTCGCCCCTCTTGGGCGGAAAGACATGTGAGTAATGTTTGAAAAGTGCATAAATTTACGATTTTTCACCTATGACGATATAGGCGAAATAGGCTTTTTTCAGCAATGGATTACACATAATTTTAAAATTTTGTACCCATCGACTCAAATTGTATTGTGTAGAGTGTATGAATTTTTTATATCAATCAATAAAATCTCGCCCCTCTTGGGCGGAAAGACATGTGAGTAATGTTTGAAAAGTGCATAAATTTACGATTTTTCACCTATGACGATATAGGCGAAATAGGCTTTTTTCAGCAATGGATTACACATAATTTTAAAATTTTGTACCCATCGACTCAAATTGTATTGTGTAGAGTGTATGAATCTTTTTTATATCAATCAATAAAATCTCGCCCCTCTTGGGCGGAAAGACATGTGAGTAATGTTTGAAAAGTGCATAAATTTACGATTTTTCACCTATGACGATATAGGCGAAATAGGCTTTTTTCAGCAATGGATTACACATAATTTTAAAATTTTGTACCCATCGACTCAAATTGTATTGTGTAGAGTGTATGAATCTTTTTTATATCAATCAATAAAATCTCGCCCCTCTTGGGCGGAAAGACATGTGAGTAATGTTTGAAAAGTGCATAAATTTACGATTTTTCACCTATGACGATATAGGCGAAATAGGCTTTTTTCAGCAATGGATTACACATAATTTTAAAATTTTGTACCCATCGACTCAAATTGTATTGTGTAGAGTGTATGAATCTTTTTTATATCAATCAATAAAATCTCGCCCCTCTTGGGCGGAAAGACATGTGAGTAATGTTTGAAAAGTGCATAAATTTACGATTTTTCACCTATGACGATATAGGCGAAATAGGCTTTTTTCAGCAATGGATTACACATAATTTTAAAATTTTGTACCCATCGACTCAAATTGTATTGTGTAGAGTGTATGAATCTTTTTTATATCAATCAATAAAATCTCGCCCCTCTTGGGCGGAAAGACATGTGAGTAATGTTTGAAAAGTGCATAAATTTACGATTTTTCACCTATGACGATATAGGCGAAATAGGCTTTTTTCAGCAATGGATTACACATAATTTTAAAATTTTGTACCCATCGACTCAAATTGTATTGTGTAGAGTGTATGAATCTTTTTTATATCAATCAATAAAATCTCGCCCCTCTTGGGCGGAAAGACATGTGAGTAATGTTTGAAAAGTGCATAAATTTACGATTTTTCACCTATGACGATATAGGCGAAATAGGCTTTTTTCAGCAATGGATTACACATAATTTTAAAATTTTGTACCCATCGACTCAAATTGTATTGTGTAGAGTGTATGAATCTTTTTTATATCAATCAATAAAATCTCGCCCCTCTTGGGCGGAAAGACATGTGAGTAATGTTTGAAAAGTGCATAAATTTACGATTTTTCACCTATGACGATATAGGCGAAATAGGCTTTTTTCAGCAATGGATTACACATAATTTTAAAATTTTGTACCCATCGACTCAAATTGTATTGTGTAGAGTGTATGAATCTTTTTATATCAATCAATAAAATCTCGCCCCTCTTGGGCGGAAAGACATGTGAGTAATGTTTGAAAAGTGCATAAATTTACGATTTTTCACCTATGACGATATAGGCGAAATAGGCTTTTTTCAGCAATGGATTACACATAATTTTAAAATTTTGTACCCATCGACTCAAATTGTATTGTGTAGAGTGTATGAATCTTTTTTATATCAATCAATAAAATCTCGCCCCTCTTGGGCGGAAAGACATGTGAGTAATGTTTGAAAAGTGCATAAATTTACGATTTTTCACCTATGACGATATAGGCGAAATAGGCTTTTTTCAGCAATGGATTACACATAATTTTAAAATTTTGTACCCATCGACTCAAATTGTATTGTGTAGAGTGTATGAATCTTTTTTATATCAATCAATAAAATCTCGCCCCTCTTGGGCGGAAAGACATGTGAGTAATGTTTGAAAAGTGCATAAATTTACGATTTTTCACCTATGACGATATAGGCGAAATAGGCTTTTTTCAGCAATGGATTACACATAATTTTAAAATTTTGTACCCATCGACTCAAATTGTATTGTGTAGAGTGTATGAATTTTTTATATCAATCAATAAAATCTCGCCCCTCTTGGGCGGAAAGACATGTGAGTAATGTTTGAAAAGTGCATAAATTTACGATTTTTCACCTATGACGATATAGGCGAAATAGGCTTTTTTCAGCAATGGATTACACATAATTTTAAATTTTGTACCCCATCGACTCAAATTGTATTGTGTAGAGTGTATGAATCTTTTTATATCAATCAATAAAATCTCGCCCTCTTGTGCGGAAAGACATGTGAGTAATGTTTGAAAAGTGCATAAATTTACGATTTTTCACTTACTGACGATATAGGCGAAATAGGCTTTTTCAGCAATGGATACAACATAATTTTAAAATTTGTTACCTATCGAGTCAAATTGTATTGTGTAGAGTGTATGAATCTTTTTATATCAATCAATAAAATCTCGCCCCTCTTTGGGCGAAAGACATGTGAGTAATGTTTGAAAGTGCATAAATTTACGATTTTTTACCTATGACGATATAGGCGAAATAGGCTTTTTTCGCAATGGATTACACATAATTTTAAAATTTTTGTACCCCATCGACTCAAATTGTATTGTGTAGAGTGTATGAATCTTTTTATATCAATCAATGAATCCTTTTTGACATGTGTCCTTATTTCTGTTTTATTTCAAGGGTAGAGGTTCTTATTCCGGGCGCTCGGGTTGGGCAATTGAAATGATTGATTTGACAGAAATTATATTAGAATCTTATTGATTGCTAGGCGCATTAGTGGCAACAACAACAGCTAATTATTGCCACAATAGCCAAGATCAGTTCGTTTATCTAGAAGCAAAATACAACTTAGAAGTGAGATGGAACTTATAG